CAAGTTAAACATTTTTTTGATACAACAGTACAAAAACAAGTTAAACATTTTTTTGATACAACATTACAAAACCAAATTATACATTTTTGATACAACATTACAAACCAAATTATACATTTTCTTTCATACAACATTACTAAACCAAATTATACACTTCTTGATACAACATTACAAAAACAAGTTATACATTTTTTTGATATAACATTTCAAAACCAAATTATACATTTTTATGATATAATATTACAAAAAGATATTATACATTTTTTCATCTGTATAATTCTAATATAGTCTCTATTCATCTGAATCAGACTGTACTGCTGTGAGTGTCCTGGGAGATTTCAAAGCAGCTCGTGCCTGTTAATATAAAAGACCAGTTTAATTTTATAGACCAATACAGCTATCAATAAAATCACAAATCAAAAGATCTGAGATTTGTATTTTTGCCTTTCTGCGAAGGACCATATTATTATTATATGCCAAAACAATGTTGATTAAATTAATCATTATAAACACCTGCTATACAAATAAAGTTGCACCTAAGTTTATGCCAGAAATGAATATTTTGTTTCATGCAATATGAAGCTCAGACAAAGTTGGTACACGACTTAGCAGTGATGTCATTTTATTCTCTATATTTTAAATTTGGCTATATTATATTCTGTATATTTTAATTGCTATATTTTATTGTGTATATTAGTTAACAGTTTTGACCAATATGAGTGTGTCACTATTTGTCAATATATTTACCAGGAACAAGTATCCACCACACTTACTCGGTGATGCTTATGAGTTTCTGCCATCTGCAGCTCAACCTCAGCATCCTGACATTTAGGGTGAAATTGTCAACATGCCTCTATTGAATCATTAAAAAAAGTTAATTATTGCAATTTACAATAACATTGTCAAATTTAACAAAGCTAGGATTTTACCTCTATAACATTGGAAAATATATAAATTTAAGAAATTAATAGGACATATAAATATGGTAATGAGGTAAAGTATGAGGTATTAAAGTAAATCACCTAATACAATCTTTGTATGTCATTGATATCTTATAAATAGTCTTGTTCATTGTTACCTAACTGATCCTTTCTGAGTACTATTGTTTTCATTGCACAATCAGTCAACTGATTGGGATTATTTTCACAAAATTATTTAAAATGGACATATATATTTTTTATAATTACATAGGAAGGTTTTACCATGTTTACTGTACTAAAATAATAATCTAATAAAACTGAAAATATCCAGATATAGATACTGATAATTATTCTGTACAGTGGCAGGTTTTGGAATGTTTGTTTGTTCTTCCTGCCCTTCATATTGAAGCTGGACTACAGATGGAAAGTCCCCAACTTCTTAAACATTCTTTGTACAGAATCCCCAACATTGTTCTCTCCCAAGGCACACAGGACAGCAACCTGAAAGGTTATGTTACATCATTTGATCAGATGGGTGCTTGATTACATCTACAAATTAGCATACATTTTATATGTCTAAATTATTTATATGCATGATAATAAATATCAATGAAAAAATAGCTATTCACTATAGGATTTACCAGTTTTTTCTCTGGCCTGGGTTTTCTGATAGCTTGGTACAAATTTGGTCCAGGTCTTCCCATGTGTCCATTGGTTCCTCCACTACTTCCTCCTCTTGTTCCTGGGATTGTGAAACCATTCTCCTTTTTTTTTGGCAAGTTATTGGAGAAGTTTTGTGTGCCTTTTATGGTTGGCGATGATTTCATCCAGCCTTATTAGGACTTGCCACTGGTAATCTAAAGGAAGAATTCAGAACAAGGAACAGTAGCTGCCCAATTAACATGTGCAGATAAAAACATTGCAGCCTTTAACTGGTGATCTGGTCACTCAAGGCCATCAAAATTTGAGCTGGGCTATCAAATCTGACAAATTGGTACCACAACTTTTAATTGCATTATATAGAAGTTTATTTTATTGATCACAGCAATCTGAATGTTGGGTGAATATATATAACTATTGAAACCTTAAAAATACCAGTGTAAAGCAATAATCATTTTATATTGATGTGTGCTTATTTATTTTTGTAGAACTTTGGTTTCTTTGGTATATTTATGTTAACTTTAGTATTTTACTCACTGTCAGTGAAGCTGCTCTTTCTTCCTTCATTATCCCCCATTGGTTTGGCCACAGATTCTAACTCTGAAATATATATAAAAAACAATCACATGAAAGATCAATACCGTATCATTAGTTTATATAGAAATATATAGAAATGTTGTTTGTTGTGAAACCAGATTCTTGTGGAAACACAATTATTAAAATAACAGTTGGCCTATTTGTACTTGTAGTCTAAGCATTAGGCCTACTACATAAACGTAACATAGGGTTTAGCTCAAACACTACCTGGTAAATTTTATTTTGCTTTTGACTACAACGCAATATCATAATAGTTCTGAATTAAACTATTTTGCTGTTATATCACTGAATTTATCAAAAAAATAAAGATAAAAAACAAACATTTTTAATAAATTAACATGAATATTGAGCATTCAACATAAATACCATCACTAACTATAAAATTAAAAGGCTTATTCCCTCTGACACTGTCGAGAATGCTTTCCTTCTTCTTTTTTTTAGTTAGTGATTTTAAACTTTCTGCAAAGTATATATATGGATGTTAGGAAGCATATCTTGTCATTACATACCTTTGGATAATGAAGTATTTTGGAGATTTAAAGTTGCTAATTCAAGAATGCTGGACAGTTGAGATCTTCTTATTGAGACTTGGTGTAATTATGCTATACGTATCATTCCTGAACTGAAGTTTGCACTTATTCAAATTACATCAAATATAGGCAAATAAGTTGAAATTAATTTTCCTTTGATATTTTTAAATGGAAAATAATATTTTACATGATTTATAATATTTTTATTTAAATGTGACCTTTAATATATGAAACTAATATTTAAACACCAAAAAGAAATACTACATATGAAATACGTAATAGCCTATGAGTTACACTGCCAGGTGATGTACTCTCTTGCTTTTCGTATGCAGAGTGCTATTCTCATGCTATTGCTACTTAATAGCACTATATGTTGTTAATATACATTCTGACTACGTAGATAAAATGTACTGTTATTACATAGTTACTACGTAGTGCCACACCGTGATGAAGTTATGTTATTACTACGTAATGCTACATATTATTTGGACAATATCAAACCATTACCATGTCACTACATAGTAAATATGTAGTGTGTTTGAAGGGAAGATATTTATAAAGCAAAATATTGAATGATGCAGAGCCAAAAGATAAAATATATTAAGAGGGGATCCTTCAGTTATCTCCATGGAAATAGAAGACCTTTCACACCAGAGCACTAAAGACATCAATGAACTCTGAAACCACATTTCATGCCACTTGCAAAGTGAAGCCTGTGCTTATAAAGGAAACCTTCCAAACCAAAAATCCATAACAATGAATTTGGGCATATATCCTGATTGCATTTACAAATGAATAAATAAGATACAAGCTTTTAACAATGCATTCAAATCTGTAGCTGTTTTCATGAGAAAGATATGCAAAAAATTGGAATTACAGCAATCCTATTAGATATGTACCAGTAAAGTTCCCAGGTGCAGCTCTAAACAAACTTTTGTACATTTGATCTGCTGATATGTGGTATGTGGAAATGTTGTTAGGATGTGTAGGATAAAATTGACTTTGCCATCCAACACAAAAGTTCATTACATAGAAATTGTTGTGTTAGGCAATAATATATAATCATGGTTGCTGGATTGAACATGATTGGCAATAAAGTAAGCAGTTTCAAGAGTAGCATAGAATCTGGAACACAGCTCATATTGTTATTAAATCTTATTAGGTCATGAAGTTATTTTCATTAGAACATGATTATGTTTTCTTTTTGTTTATATTGTTCATATTATTTATTTTATCATTCCTTTAGAGTCTGCCCTAGTTATCCTCAATTTCTGTTAATCCCAGCATCATTATCTGATAAAGAACTTGAGGCAGCGGCCAAGTTTCGTTTCTCCAGACGTATTCCAACTGTTGTATGGAGGTATGTGATTTTTGTTTGTATTTTTAATCATTATAAGATTTTATTACTTACAATATTTTTACATTAATTTGAGAGACATGAAGTACTCTAGAAATCCTAGTATAGATTTGAAATGTAATTTTTATACAGTTACAATTACTAGAACAGAAAAACAAAAAAGGTTTACGACCATAACATAAAACACTATGTATAATCACAAATAAAACTTTATTGTACATTTCTAATTAACCCTATCGAGACAGGTATGGATCAGAGGGTATGTCATCATGTTTATAGACTTACATTCAAAATTTTATTGAACTACTATTTTATGCATGTATGTCAGTAAACTTGGTATTAGATTGTAGATTATAATACAAATTTTAGTATTATACATTAGTTAATTTTGTAATTTGAAAGTAAATATAAAAATAATTGCAAAATATTGATTTTTGTATGTCACACTGGTACATCATCTTCTGGGTTTGGTCAGATTACATTTAATGATGCCCACAATACAACATCTATAGTTTCATATGAATTATACTCAAATTTCTGATATTGATAGACTAGAATAAAAAAATAAGAACCTCCTACCTTTTCTATTTGTTGAGATATCATAATATTTATCGAATCCACCATATTGGCTCCACCCACCACTTCATCATTTGAAAAAGACTTGTTCATCTATGCCTGCTTTTATATATCTATAAGTTTATAACCAACTGAAAGCTCTACATTTTATCTACATAATTCTTTTAGTTTTTCTAAGTTATTTATGAGAGAAGATCTCTTGTATCTTTGGAGAGTTTGAAGTATTAAGACAATGCTATTTTCCGAACACAAATTACATTTTTTGAGACCCAAGTGCAGCATAGTTTGGAAGCCTGTTAAATTACATTAGGTTTTTGTGGTATCAGTCTAGCCATTTATAATCTTTCAGTATTCAAAAATGCATATACAAGTCTACAAAAATTATTTGTTTACATCCACATGTAAATTTGGAAAAGGCTTATGACAAGGGTTAGTAAGTACAACTCACGAGTGCAAAAAAGAACTTCATAAATAGTGGAGATCAAGGTTTTCTGAATATTTTTTATTTAGTGTTCTATGTTTTAAGAAAAATAACTGAAATTTAAATATTTATTTGTAAATATTAATAATATATATATACATAACACTTTCACACCTATATCACCACTAAATCCCAACCACCCGAATTTGTTAGATTGGATTCAACTTTGTACAGAGCCATATCATAAATATTTTCGCTCATTTTTATGTAGTACTTTAGACAATTATAGTTGCAATTACTGTACTGTGTAAAAAAAGCTGATGAATCCTACCTCACTGTGCTTTCATAGCTAGGATTCAAATAGACTCTGTAGGAAATGTCCACTTATCAACCAATATTCAAATACCTACCAAGTTTATTAGATCAGCCCAGACATTCTACAAAGCCACAGCATAAGCATTTTATAATACTTTAGACAATTCTTGTTGTAACCATTATATTATCAGCAAGTTGAAAAATCCTAACCCACTGTCTTTTCAAAGTAGGGAAAGTTCTTGAAATTGTACTGTAAAAGTTTATTTGATGATATTGATGGTGTCAAAGTATGGTAACACCTAAACAGGAATGGTGATTTATTGCTTTGTATTTGGCAGGTTTCTACTTCAGCTGCTAACAGTATAATAAACAGAGGAAATAGGAGATTAGAAAAAACTCAGGAGATTTACTTTGGAATATAATCCAAATTTAATTTAATCTCCTTTCCTTACTTCTTTACATATATGTTTAAAAGATAGTGTTCATACTTGGTTATGAGCCTTTGCTTTGTGAATGGGTTCATATCTCTATATTCTGTGGGTACTGCACTTCGTTGTGGAATGTCTTCTCGACAGGACTACTTCCTACCCATGGATTGGTTCCCACTCATCTACTGTTGTTCTGCTTTCTCATTGTTCCTCCACCGTTTGTTACCTTGTCACCCTCTATTTGCTACCTTCCTCTATTCTGTCAACCCTGGCTGTCTGTACCTTCAGTCTGGCCTGTCCCACCTTTTTTACTATGCATGTCCTCCTCTCCATTTCCTCCCTCAGGTCCTTGTTCAGTTTGAGGACAACAATTGTGGGGTTTGTTTAGTGGCCCCTCACAATCTTCCCAAACTTGTTTCTGTTACTCCACCTACTTGAATTTCAGTCTTGGCTTCCCCTCCCAACTTATAATTCTTTCTGATAAATCCTCACACACTGCTTTTTCCTTTGAATATGGTATCCCCTTCTCATTGCATGTGGTATTTTCCAGTTCACCTTCCTCATCATGTAGCTATCCCTTTGTCCCTTTGCTTTCATGAGCCATTTTATGGGATAAACCTTTCACTTTGGTCTCTTTGCCCCCATTTCCCTTTGACTTCATTACATTGTCACATATTTCTTCTCTTTTACAGAATGGTTCTCTTGTGACCTGTAAGTCTTTTTCAATCTCAAATTCTCAAGCAGCATTTCATCCAATTTCTGCCTTTCCTGATGTCACAGTTTCCCTTCTTCTTTGCCTTATTCACTGGCCCACCTTCCTACTTCTTGCCCGAGTGGATTATAATTGTTCTCCATGTTCTAACTTGGGTCCCTATCAAACTTCTAGCAGATGTTTCTGATCTCTCTGGTCACATGTCCTATTCCAGTTTGCCTTTGTACACATTTCTATAATATTGTTTCCTCCCACTTTCTTATTCCCGTTTATCTCTTCTCATTTGTCTTGACTGGTCTGACAAACCTTTGTATTCTATGGCAGAGGTATGTGGTCACTTTTTTTCTCCCGTAACCCCTTCTTAAACTTCTCTTTTCAGTGTTCTTTCTGTTCCAGACAGACACTCTTGTCCTATCTGGGCCACACAGTGTTTTGTCATACCCTCCCTCCTAGTGATTCCTCTCACTGCTTTTTTCATACCTGGGACACTTTCTCTACCTGGGCCTTCTATCGTTATCCCATTACTGGTTGGATTCATCAGTTCTGATTGCAGATGCGTGTATGCTCTCTTGAGTCTTCTTTCTACACCTCCACCCTCCCACCTCCATTCCATCGGGCTGGCATGGGGACCACTCCACAGTCTTTCATCATGCATTAAACGGTCTCCACCATCTGGTTGTTGCTGTCTTGTGTCATGTATTATAGACTACTCCTAATGGCCATTCTTCAATTAACCCTGCACCTGTAATGAGTGTGAGTATTCAATTATTTATTCATTTCCCACCATTCTTCTACTTTTAGATTCCACTAGGCAGCTAGCATTGCCTTGCCAAAAACTCCATCGTGGGCCAGGTTAACTTAAGGCACTCAGACTTAACATGAAAATCACTTTGCACACAGACTATTAAAAAAATACTCAATATATTCATGGACAAATCTTTTTTTAGTTTATTAAAGACTTACAATGTTTACTCAAAGTCTGTCAAATTTTGCGAAGATATACGTGCTATATTAAAAGTTAGTAGTAACAAAACTATAAAGACTTTAAACAAGTACAAACAGGTCATGTGGTCAATCAGTTTGACCTAGCCCATTTTGAGAGAGTTAAACCTTTTGAGAGAGGTCACTGGTGAATATCTCTGTTAGCTGACTTGCATTCAAAATTTTATTGATCTACTATTTCATGAATTTATGTCAATAAGTTTGGTATCAAACTGTAGATTATTATTCAGATTTTAGTACTATACATTACTCAGTTTGTTAATTTAAAAGTAAATTTTAAAAAACACAGAAAAACATTGATTTTTGTGTCACGTGGTGTGTTGAATGCAGCACTGGTTCAAATTAGATGTTTGTGAAGTCAAAATACTAAGTCTATAGTTTCTTATGAATTAGAAACTCAAATTACAGATATTGAAAAGCTAGAATATAGAAAAATAAGGTTTTATCTTTTCTGTTTGCCAAGATATTGCTCATGTAATAAATCAAACAAAGTGGCACTTCACCCACCACTTTCCATTATTGGAAATGCTCCCTTACGTACACTTACTTCTATATATGACATGAATAACCAATCAGCAGCTCAGAATGTCCCCCTAGTGGTTTTTTTTGTCTTTCTAACGTTCCTTCCACAATTACTTTCTTTTGAACCAAGATTTCAATGAGATAGGTTGTCTTTAGTCTGCTCAAAATTTCATATATTTTTTGGACTCAAATAAAGCTTAGTTACTATGCTTGATAAGTTATTGTAGAATTTTATGGTATTGATGTAGTAATTTATGATTTTTTTAGTTATTCAAATGTATATATAAAACCTAAAAAAATGTTTCATATCTTTCACATGCAAAATTTTTAAAGGCTTAGCAACTAAGTATAAAGGTTGTAACTTGAAGAGATAATTGTTTGCTTTTCTTCTTTATTTACTGTTCTACGTTTCAAGAAAAATAATTTTAAGGACTTATTTCAAAGTAGCAATAATCTATATACATATAT